CTATGTTGGTTGAGTGGCTTTGTGTGCTAGGTGTCCTATAGGGCCCAGTGGCTCAGCCTCCCCAATTACCTGAGGTGGACACTCTTGGTGCACCCCCTTGTGGGCTTTGTGCACAGTCCTGTTGTAGTTAAGCCTTGATTGTTGTAGGTAACACTGGGAGGGATTGACCTCCAGGCCAATTGGGTGTGAGAATCAGCTATGTCTGCAGTGGGAGAACTTCTGTGCTGGAGACACCCCTCCAGGGCAAGATTTGCTTCAATGGGGCTTTGGTGCTCCAGAAATAAAGAATTTATTAGATGGAATCAACAGTTAGATTAACTGAAGCAGAGAATCAAAAATCATTGATTTGGATGACAAGGTAATAAAAAACACCTAATCAGAACAGCATATAGAAAAAATAAATCCAAGTAATGAATATAGTTTGAGGGACCTTTGGGACAATATCAAGTGTAACAACATTTGCATCATATGGGGAATGGAAAGAGAAGAGAAATAGCTAGAGAATAAGAACCTTTTGAAGAAATAATGACAGAACACTTCCCTAACTTGGTGAAGGAAACAGACATACAAGCCAAGGAAGCACAGAGAATCCCATGTAAGATGAACGCAAAGAGGCCAACACCAAGACACAACATAATTAAAATGGTATAAGGACAGAGAATCCTAAAAGCAAGAGGAGAAAAGCCATTAATTACATACAAAGGAGCTCCCGTAAGTCACTATCAGCTCATTCTCAACAGAAATTCTGCAGGCTAGAGGGACTGTCATAAAATATTCAAAGTGATGAAAAGCAAGGATCTATAACCAAGACTCCTCTACCCAGCAAGACTATTATTTAGAATCAAAAGAGAGATAAAGAGTTTCCCAGACAAGAAAAAGCTGAAGAAGTTTATCATCACCAAACCAGTATTATAAGAAATGTTAAAAGTCTTCCTTAAGAAGAAAAGATTTAGCCCTAGCTGGTTTGGCTCAGTGGATAGAGTGTCAGCCTGTGGACTGAAGGGTCCCAGGTTCGATTCTGGTCCAGGGCACATGCCCAGGTTGCGGGCTTGATCCCCAGTGGGGGGTGTACAGAAGGCAGCCAATCAATGATTCACTCTCATCATTGATGTTTCTCTCTCTCCCTCTTCCTTACTCTCTGAAAATCAATAAAAAATATATTTTTAAAAAAGAAAAAATTTAAAATATGAATAAAAAGATATCACAAAGAAAAAAATTCTCATTGACAAAGGCAAATACATTATAAAAGCAGTGGATCAACTAAAACTAAAGGCAAATATAGGAAGATCATATCTAATTATAATAGTAAATTAAGGGACATATACTAGCACATAGACACACACAAAAGATGTAAAAAATAATGATGAAAACAAACATGGAGGGGCTGAATAAAAATGATAGTGACTTTAAAATGTGTTTGAACTTAAGTGACCTTCAACTTAAAATACACTGCTATAAACATAGCTTGGTATATATGAAGGACATGGTAACCACAAACCAAAAATCTATAAGAGATATACAAGAAATAAAGAGAAAAAATCCAAGCATAACACTACAGAAAAATCATCAACATACAAGAGAAGAGAGCAAGAGAATAAGGAAGGAATAGAGGAGAACTACAAAAATAATCAAATGGCAATAACTACATACCTACCAATAATTACTATAAATATAAATGGATTAGATGCTCCAATCAAAAGATGAATGGATAGTGAAGAGGTGGTTCATATATACAATGGAATATTACTGTAACATAAAAATGAAATCTTACCATTTGTGACAACATGGCCGTAGAGGTTATTATGCTAAGTGAAATAAGTCAAACAGATAAAGACAAATACCATATCACTTCACTTACATGAGGGATCTAAAAAACAAAATAATCGAACAAAAACAGAAACAATGTGGAAAACAATCATTTTCCCCGATATTTATAAAAAATTTCAGAGTTACAAAGGGCAATTACTCAGCCAGTGGTTTGTATTTTTTGGTCAAATCTCACCCAAGGTTGTATTTTTTGATATTTTTTTTCCTTTGTGATTCCTTATCCAAGGTTATTTTTTCCATTGATTTTTAGAGAGAGTGGGAAGGAGGGAGAGAGACAGAAAGAGAAACATTGATGTGAGAGAGACACATAGATTGGTTGCCTCCTGCACATGCCCCAACTGGGGCTGGGGATTGAGCCTGCAATCGAGGTATAGGCCCTTGACCAGAATCAAATCCACAACCCTTCAGTCTGCAAGCCAACACTCTAACCACTGAGCTTAACCAGGTAGGGCCAGCCAGTGATTTTGATAGGAGGAAGGTAGGCTGTCTTCACTGAAGGTCTGCCCATTCTTTGTCAGGCAACCTTCTGTGACCTCACACCTGGGTTGATGCCCTCTAAATTTTCATTACCCAGATGCATAACTTTATCTTGCACTTAGTAGATTGTTTTGGGATTATCATTTCACACACATGCACCTTTGGCAGAATTGCAAGTATCTTAAGCAATAGATATGACCCCAAACTTACTGAGCTCTGCATCCTAGGTACCCAGCACAGGGCCCACAACATAGTGGACAATTAATACATGTTTGATAAATGAATGAATGGATAATTGATATGGACTCTAAAATCTTGATTAATCGCTGCAAGACAGCAGGATGTAAAATTCAGTATGTGGCTTCATGCCACCTTGTGATCTGAGATGCAAGCCAAGTCAAGTGAATTTTAAGATCATTGTTTGCCTTTATAGATGGCCTCTTAGCCAACCTCACATAGTGTAAGTCTCATAGCAATCTTTTAGCATGAGTTCATACACCATCACTGAGTCAAAAGGTCACCTTCAAGTCTTTGTTTGAACATTACCTTCTCCATGAGGCCCCCTCTGATCACCCTATTTATAGTTGCACCTGTCCCACCCACACCAGAACTCTTGTTTCCTGTTACCATACTCTCCATTTTTTTCCATAGCTCTTTAACTCCTTCCATGTATTATATACTAATTTGCTTGTGTGTTCACAAATACAAGTTTGGAATTTGCTATAAATAGTGACTAAGATTGTGAACTCTAGAGTAAAATTGCCTATGCTTATGTTAAAGTAGATTTTCATCCTGAAGACAACTATACAAGTTACCTGGAGCCGAAGGTCAGACATTTGTCTTAACAGATCTTCAAAGAGTTCTCTATCATCTTCTGGTAATTCAGAAGACAAGACGACCCCCACAAAGCATCCTGACGCTTGTAACATCGTATCAGGAAACATGTAGGCTCCTACAGTACATTTAAGAACTGGAGATCTATCAGGAACTAGAGGGTACAACCAATCACAAACCTGAAAGGATTAGTTAAAAAGAAAAAAATCAATGAACAGAACTAGGTTTTCACCAAGGTTTTAAAATTTTTATACCAGAAAACAAACATTTCAAAGTTTGAAATGTATCTTTATAGAACCATCAGCATCAACAAGTCCCCAATAAAAATTAGCCATTTATTAGTCTGATCTCCTGGCAAACTATTCACAAGAACTACACTAAAAATGTTACTGCTCCACTCTTTATACAATCTTAAAACTGGTGGCTTTAAATAGCCCACTGTTAACCAATCATGAGTCTAACTTTAAATAAATAATGGTCAAAGTAAATTAATGTTTTCTTTATCATGTAAATTAGACATTCCTTTGTAGAAATAAATAAAATCAAACTGTTTTCAAGTACTCAACATGTACTTATTGATTTAATCCTCACAACAATTCCATTAAGTTGATTAGTACTGGTTAATTAGAAATAATTATTTTAATTAGACACTCAGCATTCTAAGAGAACCTAACATGACAGAGCTAAATAAACCACTGAGTTATGTTTCTTGGATTTACTACTGGGAACCATGAGAAAGAAGATACCTACTAAAAAGGGCTCCTGGTGGCTAACTAGACTCAAATTTAAAAAAAAAAAAAACAACAAAAATACAGAGCCAAGCAGCCATTTCTGTACAGGCCTCTCAAGCAAACTGCAATTCAGGGAGAAGCCTGCACCAAGCAGCCTGCCTCTTGCATTAAACTGCCTGCCTGCACTGTATTCGGGCATAGTCTGACAGGCCTTATAAAGGACTTCCTGGAATTCTATTTCAACCAGTAGGATTGAGGCTTTCCCCATCCAACAGGAGCTGCGCAGCTACACCCCTTCAATTTCCTTACCAACCAATCAGAGTGGCTCCATTCTGACCAATCAGGACAGTGTTTTCTGGTCCAATCAAACTTAAAGGATTTGGAGTCATCGTCATCCTTTGCTTGAGTACAAACCAATCCCCGACCAGAGGCAGGAACTTATCTATATAAGTCAGCTACTCTCTGACTCTAAGAATGCTTTTGCTTTCCACCAAAGACTAAAAGGTGGAGCAGACCAGCAGAGGGAAGAGCAGAACTGTCTAGCTTGAGAGGGGCCTGTCTCCAGGCCACCTCAATAGCATTGCTGTTTTCACAGCCCTTGCTGTGTCAAAACTGAGCTACTTAACTGAATAAAATTTCCTTCTTTACTGCACCCCAAACTGGGGATTTCTGTTGGCAAACAATGTTCATTTGACACCATCTATTGTGAAGTAAAATTAAAATGACACAAAGCTGCCCTGCAAAGTCATACGGGAGATCAGATTGTCAGTATACTGACATTTGAGACTTAAGCTCACTTCCTAGAGATCTAATTTCAGAAGAGACTAGTTTAAATTGGAATAACCAAATTTATTCATTTACATTGAGGTACGTTATTTGAGTGACCAGAATATAACTGTGCCCATCACCCAGGACATGGCTCTAATATTTAAAAACTTGCTAGAATAATCCATTATGTGTGATGAACATAAGTCAAAGAACACAAAATATTTCATATAAACAGATAGTAAATTCTACCACACTACCACCATCTCTGACAAACAGAATATAAACAAACAGGAATCAGGGTACTCAGATCTGACTCTTTCCTAGAAAGTGCTTAATAAACATTTTCAAAATCTTTTTCTTTTCTTTTTTAAACTAGAGGCCCAGCGCGGGAAATCGCATGAGACCCAGCATCCCACAGGTGCAGCGGGACCCAGAGTCCCTCCTGCCGCTGCTACTGCAAGACCCATCAATCCACCTCCTGGTGGCCAGTGGTTTGGTCGTTCTGGCGTTAGGTCGTTAAAGCCACTGGCTTTTTATAATATAGATATGTTTTTATTGATTTCAGAGAGAGGAAGGAAGAGGGAGAGAAACATCAATGATGATAGAGAATCATTGATAGGCTGCCTTCTGCATGCCCCCTACTGGTGATCGAGCTTGCAACCTGGGCATGTGCCCTGACCAGGAATCCAACCGTGACCTCCTGTTTCATGGGTTGATGCTCAAGCACTGAGCCACACCAGCTGGGCAAATCCTTTTTCTTTTAAGGAATCTCTTTTTTCTTTTAGTTTCCTCAAAGTCACTGTCTATCTTTTATAAAAGTTAAACTTCAGGCACATTACAATAAAACTGATTTTTCCAAAGTATGATATATAACCATTTGAGGTATATGAAACAACTTCAAGTAATACACAAATTATTTAAATTTGCGTCGTTATGCATCTTAATATGTATTAGGAAAAAATACAACATCTTTCCCTCAATTTCATAGTTGTTATTGTTTAGGACAAAATTAACAAATGAGACATCCAAATAAAAATATCAAAATAAAGCAGAGATGTGGATTTGACCAATAAAACAGTAAAGGTTATACTTAAATGACTAAAGTTTGAAAGTTTGGGAAAGGTTTTTTACTATGCCATGATTCCTCTAATATTAACTACATTCTCATCACCTTGATTAAACTTGAGCATTTCCAAATCTCCTCCAATAAAATGTTACAGACCTTTCTCAGGGTAGATAATTATAGATTGATAAGCCCTAACAATAGCACCCGTCTTTGCTCTTGGACCAAGAGTATCCTGGTAAATTGATCTGCTTGGAATGTTAGAATTATAGCCTAAATTATCATCAGTCTCTTCTTCTAGATCAGGTTTCTCAACCTTGGCATGACTTATGTTTTGGGTTGGATAATTTTTTTATTGATGGGGGATACTCTGTTTAAATTTGTAGTAGTACCCCTAGCCTCTAACCCATTATATGCCAGTAGCAGTAATATATTCCCCCCTTTTCAGTTGTGACAATGAAAATTATTTACAGACATTGTCAAAATATCCTGGGAAAGGGGGAGGGGAGATCACCCCTGGTTGAGATCCACTGCTCTAGAAAATGGGCGGGGGTTCAGTCCAGCTCAGCCCCTCAGGCAGAGCTTGGCCTCATTAGTGAAAATTTACTATTATACATCCATATGTTACATAACTTTCTTTTGAAATTAAAGTTATTAGGTTTCTTCTTCAGATAAAGAATTAAATACCTGTCATCACAAATTTAATACTAAAATAAAACTTTGTTAAAATAAAAAAAAGAAAAAGGCTATCATTCAAAGTTCAAATTTTTCATTAATATATTGAAAAGGAACTAGAACTTATAATCTTTTTGCACTTATTGTCTTAAATACATTATAAATATTAACAAACAAAAATGATGTACTTTACACATATTTCAAATTATGTTTACATTTTTCCTTGGCTTACCTGAAGAAACCCAGGAGGACGGTTTAGAACTGTATCAAGAGAATTATCCAAGAATCTCACAATTCGAAGATATCCAGGATATGAAGGTGCACTAACCTCCCCTGCAGGATTTACAAAAAAAATCTGTACTCCATTTGGTATCAAAATCAACTCATCTGCATCAAGCCCTAAGGTCTCAAGAGGAGGTGGCTGAGAATGATTTCTGTAGAAGTCTTCCCCAACTGATGAAAATTCCCCAGATTCTGTCCCATATGATACAGTATAGTGACCCTCAGCAGCTTGAGGAGTATAAGCAGGAGGTGCTTCTGCTGGATGACTTTGAGATGGTAAGGATAGAGAACTAGGTGCAGGAACTGACCCTGTACTGGTAGCTGAAGTGTTTCCATTTACCTCAGTAGGCTGAGGAGGTGAACTAAAGGACTGAGGCGCCAGTGACTTTTCAGATGTGTGTTTAGGTGGAAATTCTGGATATAACTTGGGCACCTCCTGAAGATCATTCCTTAGAGAAGTGGCAAGGCCCTTCTCTAGAATTTCCAACCTGGTACGTACATTCTGTAGTGTTTCTTTCATTTTCTGTTGCATCTGCCTAGCAGATTCCCACCCAGGACCTGTGTGCTCAGGGTCTGTTGATGAAATGCTGATTCCTCTGAGCAGGTGTCCTATTCCTTGCTTATAGTAGTTCTTTGCTTCTTCCTTCTGACCTAATTCATCTGTATTCAGTCCTTTATTAACAAATAAAAAGGCTTTTTTGTATGCTTCCTTGATGATCTTAATTTCAGCAGGTTCTCCATTTTGTGCCTCTTGCTCCATTTCTGCAAAACAGGAAATTATCTTTAATTATCTCTGGTACTTGTTTATTTACTTACAATGAACTTCTCCTACCTGAATATATTTCAAGAGGACAGGAGCTTTGCTGTCCTGTTCACTATTGTATTCCCTAAACCTACTAGATCTGACATAGAGAAAGCACTCAATATGTGTTTAATGGATAAATAAACAATGCTCTTGGTCCTAAATATCAGGTTAATTAAAAATAGAAAAGAATAAGGCAGACTAAAATTACTGAATAATTTTCTTGTTCCAGTTTCTTATAAAACATAAAATTTCCTGTCTCATATCTTTAATATTGGAATTACAATATACAGACTATGCCCAGCTAATTAAAAATGAGGTTGAATCATACATTGGAGATGACAAAAATGAGAAAAAAATACCTGGATGAAGTTTTAAAGTTACCTCACTTCCATTTAAAGGTGACAGGGTACTCACAAGCAATTAAACCCTGCTATCTCCCAAAAGTCCATTAAAATCACTCTAACAAGATTATTAAAAAGGCATAACATAACCGTTCTTTTTAATGAGAAAAAGGCATGAATAGGTACTTCATAAAAGAACATATTTAAATGGCATGTGAAAAGGTAATTCAACATATTATTCCCTCAGGGAAATGAAACTAAAATCCACAGCAGTATGACTACACACTTATCACAGATGGCTAAGCTGAAAAGACTGACTAGTGTTAGAGAAGACAGCAACTAGAACTCTCATACTTTGCTGATGTAAGTAAAAAATGGTGCAGACACTTTGGAAAACTGGCAATTTCTATTAAAACTAAGTATTTACTCTATAATCCCCCTCATCGGTATGTAACCAAAAAAAAAAATGAATAAATACACACACCCAAAACATGTACAATGATATTCAAAGCGGCTTTATTCACAAAAGCCAAAAACTTGAAACAACTCAAATGCCCACTCACAGAAGAAGGGATAAATATAGTGGTATATTTATATAACGCTATAGTACATAGGAACTAAAAAATAAACAAGACGAATCTCACCAATTCTTAGAGCAAAAGAAGCCAGATAAAAAAGATTTCACATTGAGACAACATAATACATGAATGATTCTGTAAAGTTGAAAAATAGGCAAAGCTAGTATATGGTGATAGAAATAAAAATAATGCTTATAGGTCAGTGATGGTGAACCTTTTGAGCTCGGCGTGTCAGCATTTTGAAAAACCCTAACTTAATTCTGGTGCCGTGTCACATACAGAAATTTTTTGATATTTGCAACCATAGTAAAACAAAGATTTATATATTTGATATTTATTTTATATATTTAAATGCCATTCAACAAAGAAAAATCAACCAAAAAAATGAGTTCGTGTGTCACCTCTAACACGGGTGTCATAGGTTTGCCATCACTATTATAGGTGGTAGATACAGATTTGGAAAGTATATAGAGGATCTTATTATATATGGAAGTGTTCTTTATCTTGATCTGAGAGATGACTGCATATATAAAAAAATCATTAGGCTATAAATTTAAGATCAGTGTACTACATGTGTTTATGTTACTCCGTAATTTTTTTTAAAATTCTATATAATAAAAGGCCAGTGACTGTAACGGTGGAACGACCGGAACAACTGATCGACCAATCACTATGAGGTGCATTGACCACCTCTTGGTCCTTCCCCCCGCTCCTGCAGGCTCCAATTGCTGGATGGCCAACGGGCAACCACGGGGAACCAGGGTGGGTGGTGGTAGGGCGAGACTGGGGACTGGCAAGCGGGAGGAAGGCAGACCTCTTGGTCCCTCCCCCTGGCCTGCAGGCTCAGACTGATCGCCCCAATGGGGAACTGGGGTGGGTGGAGGTGGCAGGGCGAGACTGGGGACTAGTGAGCAGGTGGAAGATGGCCCTGATCGCAGGCTAGGCCTAGAGACCCTACCCATGCATGATTTCGTGCACTGGGCCTCTAGTGGGTAAATAAAGCCATAAATCACAAGGACAAAGATGAAGGATAAACTGGAAAACAAACAAGCGGTAACTCACAAAACAGACCAAAGAAAGCTGAAGTCCAGCTGTCAGTGAGGAATTCAGAGAAGCAGTCCCTTTTACAGCACATGACAGACCTCCCAAAGGCATAGAAAGTAATGATATTTAATCTTCCTCTGGAAGTGGGAGTAGAGGTAGAGCTGAGGAAAAAGGACTGAAAAAAAGCTATTTTACACATTAAGACCCTTGGATCTCTCCTACACCAAACACCCAAGACACTATTTCCCTCCATCCCTGAAAGAAGACTGAATTTTAATTCAAGAATACAAAATAAAATGTCTTTGGACAGGGGATTATCAGGCATTATTAAGGGTAAATACCAAAAGCAGAAGAATTAAATGAAAAATTACACATGATATGAAGACACTGAGCCTTCTCTCCCCAACTTGATTCTTAAGAGTTCTGACAGCAGAGATTAAAAATGGTGGAGTAAGTGGATGCTGCATGACCATGCTCCCAGGACCAAATTGGAATTACAATTAAATACAGAAAAACTTCCTGAATAATCAAATGAAGACTCTCTGTAGAGAACCCTGATAACCGAGGATGGAAAGTGGAGACTGCATAGAGACTGGTAGGAGGGGCAGAGGCGAGAAAGGGCTGGCTCGATTATCATAGACTGCAACTGAAGTTTTGGAGAGCTATCTCAGCTGTGGGGGATTCTCATTGAGAATTCTGGAGTCTAATCTCCAAGCTGGGCCCCCCAGCAGAAAGCACCAGAACTGGGAAGGGTACCCACATAATGTTTGCTGTGAAAAGCAGCAGGGTTACTACTGTCTGCCAGGGAGATACGGCTAGAAATTCAGGGACTCCCTTAAAAGGCCAACACACAAAACTTTGCGTGCAGCACTCACCTTGTGCTCTGGCAGAAGGCGGGCAGAGTGGACTAGAGCTGTGCAAGCAGAAGCCAGGGTTGGGGGCCCCGGGGTTAGAGCTCAGAAGGCAGATACCCCGGTTTCCTGTGCTGAGTTATTCCCTTATGCTGCATAGATCATCTTTCTGACACAGACAATTGCTATCTAGGCGGTTTAGTATAGGGGTAAGATAATTGAACCACCCAATTGGAAAACACCTTGCCCCATGGTGTGGAGTTTCTAAGGCCCATTAAGAGATTGAGAATAACAATTAGCCTTCAGGCAGAAGCAATTGTTCTCTCCCCCCCGCCTCCCATTGGAAAAATTCTCACCATCCTGTGGAAAATTGCCTGAGGGCTATCCAAGACTAAATCCAATCAGTCTGCAAGGAGAAGCAGTCTCTGGATGCTTTGAGTCTTTGCCTGATCTAATTAGTCAGAAACTGCAGTTGACACTGTCCTTAACTAGAGATTGAGAAGTGTGGCAAATCTACCTAATATGTAGTCACAAACTCAAACAGGCAGTCAAAATGAGGAGACAAAGAAACAACCCCAAAATGAAAGAACAAGAGATTTCTCCAGAAAAAGAGATAAATGAAATAGAGATAAGGAATTTATCTGAGAGTCCAGAATAATGATGGTAAAGATGCTCAACAGCATGAGAAAAGATATGGTAACTATAAAGGCAGAAGTAAAGGATGACATAGCACAAATAAAGAACACATTGAAAGGAATACACAGCAGATTAGGGAAAGCTGAGGATAGGATCAGTGAATTAGAAGACAGTAGAAAAATATTAATAAAAAACCAAACAAACAAAACAAAAACAAAAACGGGAGGACAGCTTAAAGGAGATATGGTACAACATGAAATGTAGCAATATTTACATAACAGGTGTGCCAGAAGAGGTGGAAAGGGAGAAAGGAATAGAAAACCTGTTTGAAGAAATAATGGCATAAAACTTCACCAACTTAGTGAAGAAAAGGTCACACCAGTTCAGGAGACACATAGAGTCCCAAGCAAGAAGTACCAAAATTTTAAAAAAGATAAATAAAACCCTAAATTTCAAACTCATCATAATTAAAGTCTCAAAAATTAAACACAGAGAATCTTAAATGTAGCAAGAGAAAAGGAAACTGTTACCTAAAAAGGAGCTCCCATAAGGCTGTCATCTGATTTGTCATCAGAAACTGTGCAGGCCAGAAAGGAACGGCATGAAGTAGTCAAGGTAATAGAAAGCAAGGATTTGAAAACCAAGATTACTATATCCAGGAAGACTATAATTCAAAATAGATGGTGAAATAAAGAGCTTTCTACACAAGAAAAGTCTAAACGAGTTCATCACTACGAAAGCAGCACAAGAAACGCTAAAGGGACTGCTGAATGAGAAGAAAAATAGAGAAACCTAGGCATACAGAATTAAAATGGCAATAAATAAGTACCTATCAGTAATAACCATAAATGTAAATGGATTAAATGTTCCAATCAAAAGGCAGAGGGTAGCTGAATGGATACAAAAACATAACCCAACTATATACTGTCTACAAGAGACCCACCTCAGGGCAAAAGACTCACACAGGATGAGAGTGAAGGGCTGGAAAATTTTTTTCAATGAAAATGAAAAGGAGAAAAAAGCTGGGGTAGCAACACCCATATCAGATCACTACATAAGACTAAAGGGATCGATCCAATAAGAGAATATAACCCTGGTAAACATATATGCACCCAATATAGGAGCACCTAAATATTTTTAAAAACTTGTAGAGGATTTTAAGGAAAAGATCAATAACAATACAGTCATAGTAGGGGATTTTAACTTCCAGTAAAGTAGATGACTTCACTGGATAGATCTTCCAGACAAAAAATTAACAAGGAAACAGTGACTCTAAAGGATACACTGGATCAGATGGATTTAACTGACATTTATAGAACAATTCACCCCAAAGCTGCAGAATACACATTCTTCTGAAGTACATACACATGGGTCATTCACAAAGATAGATGACATATTAGGACCCAAAACAAGTCCCTACATGTTCAAAAAGACTGAAATCATATAAAGCATCTACTCAGATCACAGTGGAATGAAATTAGAAATCAGCTACAGTAAAAACACCCCA